GGCCATAAATGATTATTTTTAAGTGGTCTTGATATAATGGTCAGTATAGATGTTTTGATCACGACAAAAATGCATAGATTTATCTGTCTTTGTGATCTAATTCAGTTTACAGAAGAAATTGAAAAACTTGAAGATAAAATGGCATGTGCTAATAATGCCCTGAAAGCAGACTGGGAAAGATGGAAACAAAATATGCAAAATGATATCAAGTCAGCATTTACAGACACAGCTGAGAGGAATATTCACTATTATGAACAGGTAATTCTCAATATTTTATATTGCTTCATTTTTAAATGTTACCTTCTCTTTTACTTTCTATCTGTACAGTAGTTGAAGAGTGTACTAAGGTTTGTTTATGCATACAGGGGTGTACAGGCCAGAGGTGCAGGGTGGGGAATGAGGGTGAGAGGATTCAGTAGAGACAGAGTGGGGATCAGAAAAGGCAGATCGACTCAAATACACTACTGAGGGGAGCAGCCACAGGAGATGGTGTGTTGCACCATCCGCTGGCGGGGATCATAGTGGCTGCAGAGAGCTTCACAGTGCTGTCACTAAATCCCTTGTGCTACCAGGTACCCCAGTTCCTGCTTGCATAGATAAATAAATCTTTAAAAAATATTCATTAAAAAAAAAATTTTAAGTCTACTAAGGAACCAAGTATCACATTCAAAACCCGTTTTGGTGGCTCAGTGCCAATGTAGTTGCCAATTACTATAGTAATGCAAAACCCACCCACTGCAGCAAATGTGCTAATGGGGAGGAAGGATGAATTTTCCCTCTTCCACAGCATGCCCTCAGTGCCTAATTTGGGCTGAACTGAATGTGAAAAAGAATTATGCTATAATTTTGCTTCCTGTGTTTTCCCCTCGAGATTTGAACTCTTCAGATGCACTTGATAGTGCTTCCCAATGATTGTATCATCTCAATTCTTTTTCCTCTCCCTTAAAGCATTTGCAAAGTGAGCAAAGGAACAGAGGCCCGAGTGAGTGGAAAATCAGTCCACCCTGTGTGCCTGCTGTCCCCACTTTGTATTCCCTAGCTGTTATAAAAATCAACAAAGGAACAGGCAGTTCTGTTTGCAACACAGCACCAATATTGTTTTAATTCAGGAAAGAGCTTAGTTTCATTTTTTTTAAAACAATTCCTTAAGGTATTTACTGTTTTTGAATAAATTTTAGAATATTATTGATTTTTCTCCATTTAGCATATTGTAAACTTTCTCTAGAAGGTATATTTTTAAACAAAGATCTTAACTCTTTTCTCTGGCTGCATTAATAAATGTGAAAGTGACGCATTAAGAAAATGATTGTATGCTCTGTTATCTGTAGTACTTGTCAGCTTACAGGTACTTTAAAACATTGTATATTTTGAAAGATGAACTGGTTTAGATATTTTCATTCAACAAGAATTTCTTCATCTCCGACCAGCAGACAAATAAAGCTTATAATAAAGTGGGATAAATTCCAGAATGAGAAGAGTGCAGGCAACTCTAACCTAGTCTAAAAGCAATGAGGAAGTGTCAGCAGAGCATGTGTTTAGGTTGACAAGAATGACATGGGAAAAAGTAGCCAAGTAGATGAGAGAGTAATCTAAAAAAGCCCATGTGCATAAGCCTAGACTTGAACGAGAAGATGTGGTGGGCATTAACTCGCTCCTTTTTGGGAATGGCTTTGTGGAAGTCATGTTTAGTTGAAAATAAAGTAGAGGAGGTAGTGGTTTTTCTTGACCCTACTAGGACCCATGGCTGAGTCTGAAAATTAAATGACAAAAATGTATTAACAAGAGAAAAACATTCACATTGATTTAATGGAGTCCCTCATGACACAGGAAGGAACTCCACAAAGACTGAGTATTTTTATGCTTGATTTGATGAAGAGAGGGTGGTCATGTAGAAATCTGGAAGATTAGAGAATAAGCAGTAAATGTAGTAAACAAGGGCAGTTGGCAGGGCCTGTTGGTTTGAAAGTCTTGGTGGCCTTTGATTAGAGATCAGGAAGCCCCTCTCCTCTGGAAGGAGGGCAGGTGGCACCTCTCACATGGTAGTTTCTGACGGATTTCAGTTTCAAGGGGAAGGACCAGGGCCTTGACCCACTGCTTCTGCCTTTTTTTCAAATGCCTTCCACTTAAAATATTCAGTATGCCAGTGAATCAGCTTTTCGTGTGACATGTCCTGATCCTCACTGGCCTGAGAAGGACCCTGTAAGATTAATTTATCTTTGATTCGAAGGAGAAAGGGAGCCATGGATTTTCCACAAGGAAGTTTTAGAGTGTGCATTTTAGACAGATCTCTGTGGGTGTGTTTGTGTCAGTGGAGACTGGGCATGTTGGGGTAGTAGGGAGGCTAAAGTGTGGACTGACCCAAGGGTTTCATAGTCCTGGGCTGGAGATCTTTGGGAAGATTCAAATGAAAAATTAGGTTTTTTTGTAGGCGGATTAACCATTATTTTCTCTCTCTGAACAACCTTAAGTACATTCAGATATCAAAAAGAATTTCCCACCCATCTCAGATTTCAGAATGTTGTAAAATGTTGGTGTTTAAGAAAGCACTTTTCAGGGCCGTCCCTGGTGGCGCAGTGGGTTGAAGCACAGCACTAGGAAGCTGGAGCCACTTTCGCATTGGTTTGATCCCCTTCTGGCCGGAGGTGATCCCACATGGCGTGGCAGACCTCTCCTGGCCCACCTGGAGCTCCCCTCAGCAGTGTACTTCGACGGTCTGCCTGTTCTACTCCCCACTCAGTCTCTGGTGAACCCTCCACCACCCCTGCACCTCTGGCCTGTACCCCAGTTCTGTATGCATAAGTAAATAAATCTTTAAAAAAAAAAAAAAAGAAAAAGCACTTTTCCCACCATAGGTTTTAATATCAGTGTTCACTGTTTAAACAGCCAGAAATACTACTACTCCTTTGCAATACATCCTCTCCACATGGACATTACAGAATTGTTATGGCAATCAACTAAAATAATTGATAAGAAAAGGACTTCATAATTAGAATATGTGCTAGCTAGTAGTGATTATGGTTACAAAACAAATAGATGAGAGTACAAACACCACACTAACAGGTGCATGACTGTCGTTTCCTTTAAAAGATAAAGTCTGCAAACTTTTCTAAGTTTGAACTTTTTATGTTTTTCACAAAAAAAAAATGTTCAGAGCAGCTCCATAGAACTCCAGCTAAAATGTTTGGGTGTTGATGCTACCTCAAACATAAATACATAATTTTGTCATTCCCCTAGATTTATTTCAGTTTTTATAATATACTGCTTTCTTAGAAACAGTTAAATTAGCATTAGTGTGCCATATGCCATATTGCAAATTTTGTTCTTCACAGCAGTTTCTATCAGTGTGTTGTTTTTAACTCTTTCCTCAAAGTGAAGCATATTTCTAAATGTTACTAAAAACATGTCAAGTCTATTGCATCTAGTATATATAAATTTGGAGGAATCTTTGGTTTACTTTCTTATAACATCAAAGGACCCCTCCAGATCTAGTTATTTGTTGTTTTTTTCTGAGTGAATAACTTTTAACTGATTTGGCACATCAGTTGAAGCATAATCAGGAAGTTGGAGCCCTTAAATTATCAAAGCTTCCCAATTAGCACACAGCCTGGGAGGCCTGAAACAGCAACAGTCTGTTTTTATCTGTTAACTTAAGAATATCTCAGATACACAGGGAAGTGAAATATTCCAGAATCTTGCCATTCCCTTTTTAAAATCTGATCACTTTCTTATGGAAATACTTCTTTTTCATCAACATTTGCAAAATTGAATCTCCCAAAGAGGTTTGGTCCTAGTGGTCAATTAAATGGGCCATGGACATTATATTAATATATTAATAAAATTCTTTTATTAAATGAATTGGCCATAAATTGTTTATGACTTAATTAATGACAGGGGAAAATCAGATTAAGGTATAGGTTGTTATCCGATGCTAATATTGTCATATTAAAATGTACTGAAATGTGTGGTTTTACTTGCAGATAATTGAGAACAATTATTAAAAAAGTTATCTACAAATAAATACTGAACTGGTAAAATGTGGTTGTTCCCATTTTGTTCTCTAAGACCATTAATTAAGAAGAAAGTTACTGAACCTTATTTAAAAAAAATAAGAAAATAGTAAAATAAAAAATCCAGACACTCCCTGGTAGTGCAACGGGTTAAAGCCTCTTCAGCATGAGTTCCATCTCCACCTGCCCCGGAGGGGACCACATGGTGCAACAGACCTGTCCTGAACCGTCCGCTGCTCCCCTCAGCAGTGTACTTCATCAGCCGGCCTGTTCTGCTACCCACACTGTCTCTGGTGAATCCTCTCACTGCCCCTGCATCTCTGGCCTGTACCCCAGTTCTTTCTGTATGCACAAATAAATCTTTAAAAAAAAAAAAATCAAAAATCCAGTTGAATATGGATGAATAATTTCAAAGTATATTTAAATAACCAAAGAATTTCCTGCTAAACTATAGAAGATAATATGACATTATATTGAATGTTGAAAAAAGTATATAATGGTTTTCTATTTGTCCATAGAAGGTACAAAAGTTTGTCTGTTTTTGTTTTCGTTGTCTGTTTGATACTAATAGTGATGATGTTTATAAAGATTGTGATGGTGAAAATATTTCAAAAGATGTAGAAGATTTTTGTCAGCAGGTAAACTGACAGTACACTTTGTAGATATCAACTCACCTAAGTTACTATTTTGGTAATCATTCTGAAATTTGCTTTCTTTAAAATTTAAGTTGTAGGAGACTCATATTAAGCCCCTATTCTGTTAGAAGATTCTTATGACTGAAAAAATATTTGAGCAAAGTGATTTTCTCTACTCTTCACTAGCGATGAAAACACTCGTTTAGTCCTGAAGATATGTTTTCAGTATAACACATGATCAGAATAATGTAATCATTGATGATAAAGGTTTTAGAAATGTATTTTCATGAAATGAATTAAAAGAATAAAGATATTTAGAGGGGAGTTACAGAAGGGAGGGCATGTTCTGTTGTTTCAGAAAACATTGAGAACCAATGTCAAGTATGCTTCAAAACCAAGAACCTTGCAGAATGTATAATTTGAACTCACAAAGAAAGTATGACTTTGTTTGCATTAATTTTGTTCAAATTATATTGCATTGTAAAAAAACAAGTTCCCCGACCCTGGCTGTTTTAAGCAATTGTTGAATAATGTAAATGATCAATTCTGTCTAGAATCTCTGGATACAGCATAGAGAATATTAATTTTTGTAATGTTAATAAGTGTTAATCTCAAA